ACAGCTGCTGAGGCAGACTGTTTTAAAGGTTTAAAATTGGTGTAGCCCAAGGGACAAAAACGAAGTGGGCGGGGCTAGTGATGTTAATGTGAGAAATTAGCATGTAAATGTAAGATCGGAGGGCGGCCTCCACGACGAGGGCACAGAAGTGGCTATGTTAATGTGAGAGATTAGCATGTTAATGGAAAATCTCAGAGCAGCAACGGCGAGCGTGGTGGCTGTTTTAGTGTGGGAAATTTTACCTGTTAATGTAAAATCAAAGAGCCGAAAACAACAACTAACATCGGAAAGTGGTAGGATGGGAACATCACAGCCAGTTATTACTTAAACTGGTTGATAACGTCCTTCCAATGATTGCTCAGTTTATACCCATCTTCTCGATTGAAGTTGTGTCTGTATATGTGAATGGCTTCATGAACGAATCTTTGTTGATATCCAGTGGGTTTGCAAAGTACCTTCGTCTTAGATAAATCAATTTCGTGTGAGCCCACCACATTAAAACAATGATCAGCCACGGCTAAGGTATTGGTCCTACTGTGTTTAAGATCTGCCTTATGTTCACGAACACGGTCCGAGACATGTCGTTTAGTTTCCCCAATGTAACTACTGCCACAGACACAGCTTAGTTTGTAGACGCCAGGGTTTTGCATGTCTCAGTGCTCTGACCCTGGAGCCACCTTGACCTGAGCGGTGCCGACTCAGGGCTCTGATCTCGAAGCCACTCAACCTGAGCGATGGCACATCAAGGCTCTGACCCCGGAGCTACTCAACCTGAGCAGTGCCGACTCAGGGCTCAGCCCCCCCGAGCCACTCGACCTGAGCGGTACCGGCTAAGGGCTCTGACCCCGGAGCCACTCAACCTGAGCTGTGCTGGCTCAGGACTCTGAACACGGAGTCACTCGGCAACCTCCTCATGACTGCATACAAGGGGATGCATTCACCCCATCTCTCTCAGTGCTTTATGACAATGTGTTTGTTTTGGTGCTTGTATTATTTTTTCTTCTACATTGTCGGTCATTAATCTTCGTGGCAGACGTTAATTTGGTTGCAGCAATATACGTGGCACACCGTTCTGTCTTTGTAAATGCGTGCGTTGGCACGCAGGGGTTGGCGTATAAACAACCCCCTCTTTAACTGGGTAGTGTTAATAGCGAACTCTGTATCCAGAGCAAATACTGCACCTCCATGCAACCTTAAGGGATGAGAACCAATTTTATTTTTAGCAAGGAGGCATTTGTGAAGACAACACACTTTTAATTTGATTGAGAAATGGCTGCAAAGATGAATGGAGACAAGGAACCATTAATACCATCATGTCATTCCAGCCAGTGGCCTCAATGTTGCATTAATTAACACTTCCGCAGGATCGCATAGCTTTGCCACCGTGTCCACCGCAAACCAAACCTGGGCGTATTGCTCAGCCAGCCTAGGTCTATCAAAACTGTGCAGTCAACTGAAATACAGTTTTAACATAACACTAGCTCCAGCTAGTCGGTCTGAAAAAATTCCTGCCAATTCTCAGATTGTCCGGGGCCAAACCTGGACAGGTGGCAGCCCTAGGCGCGCTAGACGATTGCACTAATTTCTGACAACTGTCGAGGATGGCCAGGGGCCAAGCTGCATAGCAGACGTGCACAATACAAACAGGACCAATGTTTGTCTGCAAGTAATTAAGGTTGTGTGGTTTCTGTGTAATCCTTCAGGGCAACGCGCATCCACTGGGCCCTATACCTTTGTATGTTGAGCAGTAATTCAATCAGCTTGGCTGTGGCTCCCTCTCCTGGCACCGGGAACTTTTTTGCTAAACACGTCGATGCATTTTCAGTGACCCCTGCACTGTTAGGGTTAGAATTGTCCCTGCCAAATGGGATATATTTGTAATGTCTCATTTTGTAACCAGGGGATCTACAAACATGAACTGTTGACATTCTGTCCTCTCCCATGGGCATGGTTATGTCAGGGTTCTTTATTTCTCACTGAATGTTTTCTGGGTCACTGGTAGACTGGAGCAGGTAGCACTTGACCATTACCCACTGCCATCGCGATAGGTATACTGGATGTTGTGTGTCGGTTGTGGAGAAGTTTTCCAGGTCACTGGCCTAGACAGACCCGGCTGAAATTAATTGAGCCCATATGGCCAAACACCCCGATGTGGGACTATACTGAAAATGTCTTGAGACTCTTTGAATTACTGCTGGTGAACACACAGGGCATCGTTATTGTTTTTGATTGCCTGCCCTTGGGCTCTGCCTAAAGTGCATTCTTTAAAGCCACTTGTGTAAATAATAACATACTGAAATGTGTTTGTATGCAACTGCATCGATATGCAGCTGTATCTCAAATGAATAGGCTAACAAGAGTTAATAATATATGACCAACAACGCATAATTATATCATAGCATATTGAGCCCTTAAGGAATACATGTTTACTTATGCATTTTTTTAATCCCAGGGAAGAAATATATTGATTTAAGCATGCCAAATTCAGCTTGGTTTAAGTTTCAGATTTAAAACTAATCCAGATTATATAAGCATATAGTGGCCAGTTATTGTTGAATAATGCTGTAATGATTTGAAATCTTTACCCAGCAAAGCCTCACCGGCTTTTTGAAAGGAAATTGTGGAGAGGATTCTACTTTGGTGCTGGTCGACCAACTTGTATATTAGCGATGAATATTCATACGTCCCGTGTGGGAGGAAATTGAACGCAAGGACAAAAAAACAGCCACATATAAATAGGGACAAGAGTCGCGCAGCTAGACCCACCAGCAACTCACTCGGCTACCATAGGTTCCCCATTGTTACCTTATGGATCAGGTGGCTGGCACACTCAATGGCTCTCATCCCCGCATAATCCATCAACCCCACACGTAAGTAATTAACTTACAGCTGTGGGGCATAACCAGTAGACATATGACGGTGCTTGGGTCATGCGTTTGTTGATGTGATCATTTGTAATCGTGCCAATATGTACCTTACCACTATTCTGCGCAAACAAAAGATCTTGACCATAATAGAGGTTTTTGGGTTAGATCGCATCAATATAATTGTGTCGTTAAACCCGGCACCACCCGACACAGCCAATTAGTAAGGTATGTTACGTGAACAAAACGTGATAATTAGTTCAGCACACCGGTGTGTTGGAGAGACAACCCACGCCATTTGCATTTCTTTTTATTATGTTTCGCTGGTGATTACAACCAGCCTTATATTCTTAGCTCTTTCGGTAAAGTCACGTTGAAGGGAAACAATAAATTTTTATTGTTTTATATATTTTATTATTTTATTGTTTCCCTTCAACGTGACTTTACCGAAAGAGCTAAGAATATGAATTACTGCAGTCACGAAAGCTTTAAATAAAAAATATACAACCAGCCTCATCAAGTGACAGCCAGAATTGCGGAGAAATTCTCCTTGTTCTGCCCCACGGCAGATATGGGGGTGTTCTTACACAGGAACTTCCTGATATGGGGTTGAGTTTGGTCACGTGAGCAAGAAGTTACGATTTAAGGTTCTCTAAGCCACGAGGAAGGGGTGCCAGCCATTATACAGAGTACAAAATGGAGGCACAAATAGCGTCTCAGTGAAGACAGGTGCATCTGTTCATTGTGGGACTTGAAGAAGCATTGTCTGTAAGTTTGTTTATGTTCTTATAATACTGGGAATGCTGTTATAATGGTAGAAAGGCCGTCATAATGCTGTAAATGCCGTTATAATGCTGTTAAATTTTTATGATACATATGAGGCCTAGTTAACAACGAAGCCTGCCACTTGCATTATTGTGAATGTTATTTATAGTTGGACAAGTCGAGCCAGACTTGTGCCCATGTAACTTTAATGCGTTCTTGAGCAAGGATGAAGAAGTATCTCATCCACAGTTCAGTGTTATATGCAGCGTTGTACATTTAGGCTGCAGTATGGTGATTACACAAAGTGACCTTATTTCATTGGCGTAAAATAAGGTAAAATGTTTCGCTCTGGATGACGCTGCAAAGTATTATTTGTGTTTTGATTTGGCGTGCTGATCTGAAAGGTACATTGAGGGGTTTTATGCTCCGACCGATGCTTCTGTTGTTGTGGAGTAACTCATGCAGACAGCTATGGCTCTAGGGTTTGGTGTTACATGTTATTAATGTAGTTTATTGTAAAAATTCGGTCACAGTCCTTGTGATCACTGTTACGTTGCAATTATGGCTTTATTTTTTGGTGATTTGGAAAACGTTTTTTGGTTTGGACATGTTTGTTTTGTTGTAGTACGGAGTTAGACTGATGGCCTTCATCTAAGTTTTTGTGGTTGTTATTGTTGTTTGACTTGCATCCCACTGGGATTTTTTGCACACAGCGTTGGTGTACGGTGCTTTTTTCAGGAATATTTTTGCCGGTTTTTTTTCCATGGATTTTCTGTTTGCACAGTCACATAGTCACTTTAAGATGTTTTTCTTGTTCGTGTTTTTGTTTTTTTGTTTGTTGTGGTTGCACCCGATTCAAGAGCCGGATGGCTCACAGGGCTATACCAAAATAAACTGAACTGAACTGAACACTGTAGCTTATTCTCTTGTTGTATGGGTATTCACTGCTAATGTAGGTGCCTGGTCCATCCAGGACCTATTGTTGAGTTTCATGTTATCTAAGACAATGTTATGATGCTGCAGTGTTCATTCATTGTATTGATATTGCAAGTATTAACAGATGCTGTATTTTGTGCTATGTTTTTCCATCAGTTTTAACCTCGTTCTATTAATGAAATACGTCGGAGTCAGATGTTCACCCTGGCTCTGAATGTTTATTGAATGCGAGGTTAACTACTCGGACAGTGGTGTAACGCAGCGCACAGTGAGGCCGAAACACTTCGGTTTCGGACACATTTATATTCATGCGATTTAACCCAAGATCTCTTATTGATCATATTGGTCGCAAAAGCCAACTGCATGTTAAAAACTCTTAAATTTCTCTCCTCTCTGCTCGCTCTCTATGTCGCCGATATCAACTCCACCTCACAGGTCCAAGCTCCAGGGTCGGGTCACCACAGGTGCGCCTCATGCTGATGGGACACGAGCCGTGACTCCTCAGCAGCAGGTACGGGACTTGCACCTTGACCCTCACCCTGCCACCAAGCGACTGCTATTCAGGATGAATGAGAAGCCACCTGTGTTGGGTCGTTGAAGTTTATTATATTTAACCAAGATAATGTAATTTGCAAGGGTGACCCGGGTCACTAAAATGGCAAACGCAAGAATATAAAAAAAAACAAAGTGCCACATTGAAACAAATATAAATCAGAACAAACATTTACCAAATAGAAATCATCGGTTAATAAAACGATATTTAACGACAGAATAAATTTCAAACAGTGCACAAAATAGATCAATATTGAATCAAATAAAGTTTTTTGTCATGGAAGGTGCCTTGGAAAAAATGTAGTTGAAAAAATACCTAAATATAGTCTTGATTTGAAGCTTTCGTGACTGCAAAAATCCATACTCTCTGGTTCTTTCAGTAAAGTCACGTAGATGGAAAAAAGAATAACTAAATAAAGCATATAGGCACGAGAGGGGGGGAAAGGGGGGGAGGAGGAGTTTTGTCGAGTCGTGGCTGCAGGAGTTCACGGGGGAGAGGGGGGAGGGGTTGTGGCGTGCAGGGACGAGTGGGGCTGGAAAAATTAGCATATCAATGAGCTTGAATTAGTAACCGGAAACCAAGACGACACGGGTGGGTGAGTGAATATCATAGCAGGTAAAACTTGACGTGGTTAATCACGTCCTTCCAATGATTGCTCAATCTGATTCCATCTTGTCGATTAAAGTTTTGTCTGTGTTTCTATATCTGGATGGCTTCATGAACAAATCTCTGATGGTAGCCCGAGGGTTTGTAGAGCACCTTGGTCTCGTGTTTTCTGTTGTTATTTTTTCTATCTACGTGACTTTACCGAAAGAACCAGAGAGTAGGCCTAAATGTATTTAAAGTGATTATTGCACATTTCCACTGTGTGCAGTTAGACATTATTAAGTAATTTCAATCTTGTTTTTCAGGTGTACACTGCCAACACGGCTAAGTAAGTACTTCTCAATTTCCTTTGGTGCAGTCACATGCAACAACAACAACAACCGCCATTCACCACTAAGTGGCGGTGACGTCACCACGACGCTTGTGCCAGGCCATGTGCACCTTAAGGCCTTAAGTCACATGCAATCACGCACACACACACACAGCTGTCATTCACCACTATTGATACTAATGTCACCGTGGCACCTGTGCCATTGTGCCGCAACGACATTATGGAAAAAGTTGGCAGACTCATCGCAAACAAAATAAGCACAGTAAACCCCCTGGTTTCAGTGTCTGAACAGACACAAATAGATACGTGCACACTAGACAAAGGCAAAGATCCCCCCGTGTAGTAGCATACTTTTGGGGCAAGTGCTGTGAGCCAACACCTATGAAGGCCAACATGGCACACGTGATGTGAGCATCACGCCCGGCCGCCTTTAACTCCCCATTGGTAATGTTTACACACAGCAGCAGGCATTAATTTAAGGCTGGGTCAACCAAAGCTCATATTCGTTACTGATGTTGGCCGTGAGTGGGAATTCGAAATCGAGTAGGTGGGTTCGTAGTGCAGTGCACTCAGTGCGACACAACCGCTCCCCACTACACTACACAATCACACACATGCAGCTTACATGCCCACACACGTGCATAACAGCAGACACACTCGCATGCAAGCATACGCACCTACCCAGGCCTGCAGCTTGGTGGAAGGGTCTGGTTACCCCTTCACCATGAAGTTATTTACCAAAGAGCCACAAGAACCACACATGGACACACATCCAAATATTATGTGTGCACACATACATACATATCAGATATGTGGCTGGCTGAGTTGCCAAGCAGTTTGCAGTTTACTCTGAATATTGTGTTAAATCAATGTCACGTGTACATTATATTAACGAGGATGTACAATATGTAAGTGTTTTTTTTAAACTTCATATTTGGGATTTGATCAAGTGGTACTGCGAATCTTAAATGTTGTGCAAGAGGCGCAGCGGCCCTATAGGGATCACTGGCTTCTAAAGTCGACCGTGCCCAGTGTCCGAATATAGCCTTGCAAGATCAAATAACATCTTGCAGCTGCCATCAGGACCATTTATTCGCGGCAGAAATGCAATTCTCACAGCTGTTTTGCAGCTTCGCCGTGACGAGGTAAGTGAATTGTTGTAAACTTGTAAGATCCCACGCAAGAACGTACAACTTTAAGAAAATTAAATAAATAAAAACGGGAGTTGTTCTGTCGCTCGGGATGAAAAGAAGTAACCTGGAGTCTCAGCCGACGAACCTTCTCAAGAGGAGTCTTGAATTGCTGCCAGGGGCTCTTCTCTTATTCACCACTAGCTCTGACATCAGCATGGCTGTGTCAGTTCCTGACACAGATGAAGATGAAGAAGAAACGCGCGTGCGTTTCTGTTACCGGGTTTCTGTGACGACGTAGGAGCGATGACTCTGTGTTGATATTGAAGCAGCATTTGTCCGTGCAGCTCTCGCTCGGCTCGTCGTGTTCCGTCACGGGGTTCTTCCTCTTCCGTGGTCTCTGCTGGCGTCATGCACTGTGATTTTGTGTTGTTACTGCAGTCGCATCCCAATTGCAAACGTGTCTGCAATTCGGTAGCATTTATGCTGCACTTACTTTCAACGTGACGCTCGTGTGCTGCGTCTTAAATGCATTTGACAAAAATAAAAGATGTAATTTTATTTTTACATCATTGTGACACGGCATATTTTCTTTTGACATCCTGTCAATTTTTAAGTTTTCACTGAGGAAAGAAGCATTAGTTTTTGTTGTTGCAGAAAGTGAATGGGAAACCCACCAGTAAGTGGAAGCTTTTGTTGACCTGGCTAAGCTGCCTCTCACTGAGTTTCCATTCACTGCTTGAAACATCTATGTAGTGCATAAAAATACAAACATCCTTTAAAAACCCCCCATCATGATCCTGCTGGTGAACAGCATGTTTTTTTCTCACCAGTTATGTTGTATATGTTTACCATGAGCATGCGGTGAATACAGTCAAGATCGAAATTGGATACACTTGAAGGATTCTATCCAGTTACAGAAATTTCTGATCAAGAGATATTTGCTCAGTTTGCAAGGCAGAGTACAAGACACACCAGTGGCTGTTAATGGGCAACGATTACCTTTGTGGAAGCTATCAGTCAGCTTACACAAATTAATCGACGAGAATACGCAGAGTAAAGTTATCCTACTTTTCAATGTAAACTTAGCGTGTTTCTCTTCCCTACTCGTTCACTCGTTCATTCTGCCTCTCTCTTTCTTCTTTCGTCCGACCTCCCCTGTTTGCGCACCTCCGTGCACCATCTCGCCCCCCCCCCCCCCCGCCTCCCCGGTGTCTGTGCTTAAATTGTGCCGACCCGTAAACAAATGTAAATGACGCAAATCAACAACGATCCAAAACCCGATCCCTTCCACCGCCAAGCCCGGCGCTCCTAAAGGACTCCCTGGCCTTTGCGCACAAGCCCATCGCAGTGACGGGCCCAGGAGGTCAGGCCACCATCATCCACGCGCAGTACAACACTCCAATCAGCATGTACTCACAGGACTCCATCATGGACGCCATCGCTGGGCAGACCCACGTGCGCGGGACAGATGTCCCGGGGTACAGGCAGCGGGCGCGCGCGCGCGCATGCGTGCGAGCGTGCATGCGCATGTGTACATGCATATACGTGCATGTTTGTGTGTACGCGTGCGCGTATGTACGCATTTGCTTTGTTTTTGGTTGTGCGAGCCTGCGCATGTGTTGTTGGGTTAGTGCACGCGCACGAATCGGTGTGTTGCTGCATGAATGTGCACCAGTGTGTGGCTTCCTCCGTCAGGGACGACCTTAGCAAAAAGGAAAAAAATTATGCAAGATAAACTGGACCAAATTCGGATATTCCCCAAAATAGGTGCAATATCTTTAATGAGATACTTTTTGTACAATTTTTACTTCATACGTATTTCCAATTGAGGGAGTGATTGACTTATGCCGATTTAGAAGGGCTAAAAAGCTTAAATTTGGCACAAACATTAAAGTATTTGCCCATGACCATACACATCTGAAAACTTGCTTTTATGAAGTTAGGAACCAAAAACACGGCAGCCTGGATGTTGATTGCATTTTCTCATTGGGCAGGGTCAGCTTAGAGGCCTACATGACTTTCAGACTTGTGCTAAGCACATCCGTGAATTTTCCCCGTCATCAGTGAACCGAGTAATTTGCTGACAGCGATAGAAAGTAAGATTATGCGTTACATGTACCATATTCCTTGGTTCTTTCGGTAAAGTCCCTTAGATAGAAAAATTATAATAAAAAATAAAGTGAATAAAAATAATAAAAAATAAAATAAAAATAATAAACAACAAAAAAACACACAGTCTCGTTACAAAAACGAACAGTATCATCACTGCTTCAGCTTCATTAATTGAACAAACCAAACGGTTTTCCTATAAACCTTCTGCTGCTAGACCACCCAGATTATATGGCTTACCAAAAATCCATAAACAAGGTACACCCCTTCGTCCCATCGTCTCCTACCATTGGTTCACCCACCTATAAACTGGCCCGATATCTGTCTTTGAGACCTTGCAGCCATTCACTGGTAATACCACCTCTTCTGTACTTAATTCAGCTCACCTGGTATCGTCAATTAAAGAAATCTCACTGTCCCCAGGTGATTTGCTCGTTAGTTTCGATGTAGTTTCTTTGTTCACCAAAGTTCCTGTGCCTGATACCATTGCAATCATTGAAGATTTGGTCCAACAAGGATTGCATGCTCATGTACCAGACCTGGTGAGACACTGCCTCACCAATACATACTTCACCTGGAATGGAACATTCTTCAAATAAACGGAAGGCACCCCAATGGGTTCTCCCTATCTCCGGTTGTAGCCAATATTTTCATGGAAAATTTTGAGATGGATGCCATCCAGGCATCCACTCTACGCCCGTCCTTGTGGAAGAGGTACGTGGATGACACATTTGTCATCTGGCCACATGGCCGACCAGCTCTGAACCAATTCCTTTACCACATCAATTCCATACACCCAGCAATCAAATTCACCATGGAGGTAGAAAAGGATGGCATGCTACCTTTCTTGGATGTCCTAATTAAAAAGAGACCAGATGGCTGAATGAGCTATTTTGTCTGCAAGAAAGTAACCCATACTGATGCCTACCGAAAACCTGATTCCCACCACCATCCATCCCAGAAGAATTCCCTCATCAAAACGCGACACCATAAAGCTCAATGTATCTTCGACCATGAACACCTAACCAGTGTACTCAAACACGTACACCAAGCTCTCAAGGCGAATGGATATTCTGACTACACAATCCGCAAAGCCATCACCCCAACTGTGAGCAAAGAGCCATCTGAGGGTCCAATCAAAACCATTACCTTGCCATACATAGCAGGGGTAACCAAAAAGATTTCCAAAATCATGAACAAACACAAGATCCAGGTCCGATTTAACACAGTGCATAAAATTTGTGATCTAATCCCATCTGTGAAGGACAAGATTCCTGACATGCAATATCCCGGCGTCTACAAACTAAGTTGTATCTGCGGCAGCAGTTATCTTGGGGAAACTAAGTGACATGTCTCGGACCGTGTTCGTGAGCATAAGGCAGATTTGAAACACGGTAGGACCAATACTTCTGCGGTGGCTGATCATTATTTTAATGCGGCTGGTTCACGCGAAATTAATTCTCTAAGACAGTGGTTCTTTGCAAGCCTACTGGCTATCAACAAAGATTTGTTCATGAAGCCATCCATATATACAGACACAGACACAATTTCAACCGAGAGGATGGTTATAAACTCAGCAATCATTGGAAAGGTGTCATCAGCCACTTTTGGTCATGACTTGATTTGTGTTTTATTGTCAACCTCCACCGTCAACAGTGTGGGTATGTGGAGCGAGGTGCAAATGATTGCCTGGCGGCCCTTTGATTGGTGTAGACCCACTGCATTGGCATTGCTTTCTCCTACATTAACATTAGCTGCCCCGCCCATGCTGCTGACACACTTGGGCTATGCCCATCTCTAAACCTTTATAAACAGTTTGCCTTTAGAGGTTAACCCCCCTTTTCCTGATGACGACCGCTTGTGTTGCGATCGAAACATCGTGGTTTTTGTTTTTATATAAATATTTTTATATTAAAATTACTGAAAGAACCAAGAATAAGTCTACATTATAGACTGCCAGTACGCTCACTCAGTTTAATAACCATTGCTACAGTCTACATCATAGACTGCCAATACCAGCTTAATAACCAGGTTACAGTCTACATTATAGACTGCCAGTACGCTCACCGAGATTAAGAACCAGGCTACAGTCTACATTATAGACTGCCAGTACACTCACCAAACTTAATAACCAGGTTACAGTCTACACTCCGATTAGAACCAGGCTACAGTCTACATGAGTGTTTTTTGTTGTTTATTATTTTATTTTTATTCTTTTTATTTTTATTCACTTCATTTTTTTTTCTATCTACGTGACTTTACCGAAAGAACCAAAGAATATGTATTCCTGCAGTCACGAAAGTTAGTCAAAATTTACATGTACTCTATGTGGTTATCAATCGTCATCAGCCATGGTCAATCCACTGCTGGATCAAGGCCTCCCGGAGCCACCACTACCACCACCCAAGTCCCCGCAGTCCCAGCTCATGAAATGATTTCATCACTCATGGTTATTATTAGGAATATGAAAATATGCATAAGTTGATTATTAGCACCTGAGCTGTAATTCTGCACAGCTTTTAATAAATAATGACTTTGTTGAACAAGTTACAATTTAAAATAGCATTGCAATTGGTACTTGGGTAAATGTTACAATGGTTTATTGCTTTGAGCTCAAGCATTGATTTCTGCTGGGAACTGTAAACTGTCTTTGCCAAGCAAAGAAGAAATTGACCAGAGCTTACATAATGAGTAGAAAAGATTTTAAAGTTTAGTGTTGCCTTATACCAAAATAAACCTCTGTGGAATCCTCCAGAATGCAAAATTTTGCTCGTTAGCCCTTGGCCTGTTGCACGAATCAGTTTTAAGCGATTTTCTCCCTTAAGTTGTGTTGCTTAATGACGTAAAAAAATATGGAACATTCAAAACCAAGCGGCCACTGGAGTAAAGAATCTGTCTGGCAGCACTGGTGCACACATACATGTGACTGCATGCATGCGTGCGTGTGGATGTGTGTGCGCGTGTGTACTCGTGTGTGCGTGTGTGCGCGTGCACAAGCGCTCGGGCGCACGAGGCCGGGCTTGAGTAACGCGCGCGCACGTCCGCTGTTATGGCAAGCAGCATCGCCGCCAAAGAGCCGCACGTGGACACGTCGTCGCACGTGTACCAGGCCGTGGTGAAGGGGGACGACGCCAAGGGCACCGCCGCTCATCAGTCGCGCTCCTTCCAGATACTGGCGCACCTCACCGGCACCGAAGGACGTGCGTACTCCCACACTGCCGCGCTCGGCGGCGGCGTCGCCGCTTGTGTGTGCCACGGCCGATCGTGCCGTGAGGATCGCTGACCTTGATGCGTGTCTTGTTTCCTCTTCAGAGCCAGACCTGGATGGCGAATCCGTGAAGAAATCCAGGTAGCGTGATCTGAGACATGCAATGTCACCAAGGTGTAGAGGCATTCTCCCGTTAACATGCAAGCTGTACTCAGTCATATGCCTCAAGAGTATACGTATTTCAAGTGCCATCATTTAGGAGAGAATGCAAAAAGAAAACCAACAATATTTACACGTGTACCAAACATTTGTTTATCCATGCTGATTTTCTGCAAATTCTAAAACCAGTATGTATTGTGTTAGCTACTGCTAAACATTACATTCCATGTCTTTGTGGTTTTGTCAGAATGTGTCACATCCATTGAGCAGTTCTCCATATGTATCGTTATTGGATGGTCTGGCAGTCTGAGTGCTGTCTTTCCTACCATCCCACATTCCAGACAACATCCTATCAGATCATTTCACGCATCTATGTTAAACACATTCCTGCGGAGGGAGCTGGTAGGAACGTTGGGTTGCTCAGTCAATGGGCAGGGTCAACGGCGGTGTGGTGTATTCCCCAAATATTCCCGACTGTGAGGGCGGGCACAAGCCGGCGTGAGTAGGTTAAATGGTGAGTTTTATAAGGGCACCACGGGGTGACCAGCCCTCCCCACCCAGCCCCACCCCTCCCACCCCCCACCCAGCCCCACCCTCCCCACTCCGCCCCTCCCCACCCTCCTCTCTCCACCCAGCTCCTCCCCACCCTCCCCTCTCCACCCAGCCCCCCCTACCCTCCCATCCCCACCCAGCCCCATCCCCCCACCCAGCCCCTCCCCACCCAGCCCCTCCCCACCCAGCCCCACCCCTCCCATTTTTGGATGCACGACGGACGGACGGACACTAATCCCCTGTGGGCTGGTGTAACCAGGAGGTTCCTACCAGTAATATTTAGCACTGTGGATGATTAACTGTATAAGAAATTATTGTTTAAGCAATTGTATTCATATGTATTTACATATAACTGTACTGCAGTGTGCATAGATGCAGTGCTGTCATGCTCACAGCCTGAACCAATCAATCGGACTTTTTTTTGTTTCCATTTGGTTGTCATGAAGCCGTCACTCACACGCTCACTTGTTATCTCACTCACTCCTTCATGCATTTCTCAGTCATTCACCCATTCACCCACACAACCGTCCGCTTACTCACCCACTCGTCCACCTGCTCACTTTCACATTCACAAATTAAGTTTTTATTGCAGTTCAACAGCAACATTTATTTGCGGTCTCCTCTATTACTGCGATTGAGTTGATTCTTGGTGACCAACCTCGGGTTGATTCCCGTGGGAGTTTCATTTGTTCACTCGCAACTGCAATCAACTTCCCTGCCTTTGTTAATTAAAATCCATGGGGTACCAAACCCCAAGGGGTCTGCGTTCCAAGATGCATTTTTAGCCGGCATAACAATGAGCATTGTACAGTTTGTTCCATATTTTATTCTATTGCTTCAGTATTTTGTTTCAAGAATGTAATTCGTATGTCAGGATGCCAGTCAAGGTTGACAATTCCAACATCTATGCACTCCGCCTCGACTTAAACGTCCTCAGAGTTTATCGTCCTGAGAACGTAGCACACTCACTTGCCGATCTTCATCCTGTCTCCATGTGAGTTCAATGGAGGACAACCAGGAGATGGCCGAGTGGCTAAGGAGGCTCACAGCGGCCTTGCCAGAGCACTGAGCTCGGGCACCGCTGAGATCCCGAGTTAAAATCTCAGTCATAATACAGTTTTTTTTGGGTTAGATCGCGTAAATATATAAATGTGCCGTTAAACCGGCCACCACCGGACACAGTCAACTAGTAAGGGTTGTCATGTAAACAGAACGTACCAATTAGTCACGAGTACAGCACACCGGTGTGTTGGAGAGCCAAGCCACAACATTTACAATCTGAGTACAACGTTTCACCAGGAATTATGAAGCTAGTGAAGCTAGTTGTAATTGCTGGTAAAACGCCTACGTCTTAAAATAAAATCTCAGTGTCCGTCATCCGGGAATATACTTGGTTTTCAAGTGGAGAGTCGATGGGAGTCCAATAGTCAATGGATGCACAAAAAAGCATCGTATTAAAGTTGATGTTTTACTTTATTTGTCTGCAGTTCACTTCTGATAGTGAAATACTTCAATCGGATCTCCCCTATCTCTGTTTCCCCCTGCGCATAACTGCTTGCCTCAGCGTATCCAATAAATATGCTTGCAGTTTCCCTAAAGTAGCTTGAGATGCAGTTTCGTTTCGATGCCATGTAAATTCCCATTGTATGCTTATTGTATCCGATTGCCATGTAAAGGACACTCTTTGTAGACCCCGTATAAACATGTGCCACCTAGTGTAGATTAAGACTTCTATTGAAGGGACTTCAAAGGTAGATCTGGAGCTGTTCTCTGACACAGGGTGATGCACTGCTATCTGCAAGAGTACCGAATGGAAATGTCTGCATCTCAAGGCATGGCGTCGATAGCACAATTTGAATATAAACGGAGAAAAAAAAGCTACAATTATTATTCACAAAAGAGAAAATACCACGTTGCAGGGACAGATAGTCTCCATATATTTGTCCATGTCATTTTCCTGGGCGAGTCTCTGTAAGAAATGTCTTATCTGCAGTATAGTAAACATAATTGTTGTTATACATTTGTATATACCGTCATTCATGCAAAATTTCATCTCACAACGCTGTGAGATGTTTGTATGTTGAACTTCTTTCGCACCGTACGGAGGCAACTGCGCTAATCTGAGGTGCGGATGCAAAAATACAAATGCAACCGTAATACAATTAATATACGTTTGCTGCCTGATGAGCATGGCCTGCTGCGGATGAGTTCTATGTGCATGACCATTGTGTTGTAATCGCCAGAAAAACATGAAAAGGCATTTAATTGGAAAGATGGCAACATCTGGAATTCAATTCACACCCCAGGAATTGAACTGGCTAATGTGAGTGATAAGCATGCTCACGTCTTTGTGCAATTCATTCAGGTTTTCTGGTCTGATGTATGCAATCCATCTGTATGAACTGTCCATTGATTGAGCTTATGATATTAACTCTGAAATTCGCATAAAACGCTTGTACGGGTGTATTTTTTTTTCGTCACACACAAAGCCCACTATGCCTTTGCGATATTTGATTGTGCGAGTGTAAATTAATCATGTGCTTGTCAGAAGAAGATAAAAAAAAGCTGTGAATGCACCATCACACTTTTTTTTCCATTTCGCATCTTCTTCCCACGTGCGGCTCGATCGATCGTGATACCTGCAAACACTCGCACGTCGCTCTAACTCAGTGAGGATGAGTCAAGGGCGGGAGAAAACCAGCACGGGTAAAACGCGAACATCCCTCCCTTCCCTCCCTGCGTCACCCACACCCCACAGCCCCCTTCCAACTGGATTCGCTTCTGGTCCCGACGTCTGCGCTGATGCAAAAGCCGGGGACCCATGTCCGAAACGGGGTCCTCTCATCGCCGGTCCATATCCATGCATGATTCTGCCCGGGACCACTCAGATGTTCCTGGAGGCCTGGTGCAGAATACCATGTGGGCCCCCTTTATTAGAAACAACAAACAGGCCTGTTATGAGGCCTTCTTTTGGTGTGAGGCCTGGGCTAAATTCCCCCTTTTTGCCCCCACCTCTGGGAGTCCTGGTTGAGCCTCCAATCTCTCGGACGGGCGGGGGGGGGGTAAGATGTCTTCTGTAGGTCCCCTAGTAACCGACATCAGCACGCCCTTCTCTGATGGTCAAGCCTCCCCACAAGAGCTTGAAACCTGCAGAGCTACCGCGCGGTCAGGAGTGTGGAGTTGCTCACCTATTTGGATGTTTAAATACACCAGAGTCCAGTTATCGGTTGCATAAAAGCACCAGCTAGTGATGATTTTGTCATTCTAAACAGTCTGAAGTTGAGGGGAAAACTCACTTGAGGTTTTGTTAATTTATTTATGTAATTGTCCACTCGGCCCCCATTGGTGTCTCAACGCAGCGGATGGCACTGCTGCGCTTGGACAATGCAGCGTGCTCTCCCTATGCCGGGCCCAGTCTCGATGCTCGAGACCATTATTGTCTTTGTAGTTTATTGCAGCAAAACATGTTTTAAACCAGTGTGTGCCATCTTCATTAATGTCCAATTGCCACTCCGCTGATGGTGATGCGCCCCTCTTCCCCTGCCTGCGGCTTGCTCCACCTGTCGCTCTCCTCTTCCCAGACCGCACGGAGCTCCAGCTTATGATGGCGGTTCGGCCAACCAGGCGCAAGTGGCCACGGCCTCTGTGCAGGCGTCTAAAAGGTACTGGCAGCACGAACGTGTCATGGGGGGCCATTGGGGCCGTAACCTATGACGCTGTCCTTCCAAAGGTGCGGTCCTGCAATCGCTCATGGCACGACCGGCAGAAGGGTCTCTACGAGAGCAAACTCTCGTAGTGGCATTTGGTCTACTCTTCCACGTTAACCAGACTATTGGAAGCGGTATTAGTGACCATGCTTTACCCCACCTGGCTGGTTCTGCCAATCAACTCAATAACTCTGAAAAAGAAGCTAATTGCTCAGTGGGCTTTACCTGGTAAAATAAAAAAATAGTTTGGTTTTGCTTGTGATTTGCTTACCTTTTCTATACTTTGCACTCCGAACGTAGGTGCTGACCTTAGTAGGCGCTTGCTAACAGCGCTTGTCCCACCAGTAAATGAGAAAAAAACACTATTATCTTTGCATTAGTGTATAATTCATATTCTCTATTACTGATGTTAGGAGTGCAATTTGGGAGTAAAAAAAATACATATGCTCTGTCTCTGTACATATAAGTACTGCTATGTTTGTAAATGAGTCCACTGCATACACTATCAAGTGCATCAGTGAAGTTTACCTACACGCATTTATTATGTAACACACGTGTGTAACACATGAATGGGGAAGACAAAAGTGCATTGCATGTCAGGAGCTTATTGCTTGACGCTTGAATGTTCCCTGCTTTCATTCTGATTGTCGTGACCCATCCTTACATGAGCGTTTCTGCTTGACCTATGTGCCCCACGCCACTCTCTCTCTCTCTCCTATCTTCAGCTCACCTCTGCCTTTCACCTCAAAGCTCCAGCCGCTTCCAAAGGCGCCAAATGCAAGCGCGCAGGCATCTGCTGCGCTGTCTGCCGCTTTGTCCTCTAGGTCTGCCTTCACTTTTCTAAACTAAACTAAACTATTTTTTTTTATTTTACCAGGTAAGGCCCCACTGAGCAACATAGCTTTTTCAGAAGCGACCTGGCCAGAAAGATAGCTCAACGAAGTGGATTATGATGTGGAAACTTAAAGCAGCCAAATAATCTTGAGCGCATGTTTCTAAATATGGAGGGGAAAACCCGGACGAGCCGGAGAAAAATCCACGTGACCACAGGGAGAGAAACACACAAACTCCAAATATACAGGCATCAGGGTCGGAACCGCGACATCCTGCATAGCAGGCAAGGGAGTGAACATCTTGCCACAGCGGCACCCCAATAATACAGAATTACATGTGCAACCGTTTTCATTTTCCTTGTCCAGACCCCCAGAGCATCATTTCATCATGGAGCAGGGGCAATCCCTTGGTGGTGATGTGGGGACTCCTGGCATAGTGCTGCCACATTCAGTCGCTAGGCTGAGATGCTGCTATGAGCTCTTTAACATATTCTGGAGTTAAGTTAGATTTTAATTAACCTGTGAGTTGTTAACATAAATATCACAAGTTGCCCCTTCAGCGACAATATGGAGGTTTGAAAATTGGTCAGTAATCATGATCCACGGTTAAAGTAGATTTTTCTGTGGTTCATTCCAATCACTAATGATTGCCAAAATAATATACCAAAATGTACTTTTCTGCCCTTTCTAATAAATTCAGTCCAAACCCGAGATTTGAAATATTTAAATGTATTCAGCAATTCAAATATATAGAACATTTTGCAATTGACCCCTTTAGATAGTCAAATCCAGTTCTGTTGACTACAAACCCTGGTCGCGTGGTTTATTGTCGTTAGTCAAACAGTACAAGCGGTATCTCAGGAAGTAGCAGGTGGCAACACCGTGATTAATTTCCGATTGTCTTGTGAGTCAACAAATTTCACTCCCTGGTTTCTCTCTTTAATTACACTGCCACACAGCTGTTCCTCTCATGGGTCAAAATCTCACATTTTTCATGTCATAAATAGGGGCGGTCTGCAGTGGCGCGCGCCAATAAGCCAGCAACTCTTCAGCAAGGGTTGGTGGATGAGGATGATTTCTGTGGACACAACTCAACGTGCAGTGCTACGAGGTGGCCAGGAGATGTCAGTGTAGTAAATTAATTGGTGATTTATCTCAATGGATAAAAAATATCTATTTCATCACGTGTAGATTTTCTCCCAGGTATTTTAGTTGTCACCACCATGCAAAGTTTCTATGAAGGGAAGTGGCCAAACTTCCCTATGGAGGATCCTCCTATATAACAGTTTCGACACTCAATGATATTTTTCGAGAGTACTGCTTTGTATACATATTCTGCTTTTCTCCGAGCCCTAAACCATGCTGTTTGTCTGCCACTGACGTCAACGTAATTTTCCTTGGAAGATGCATGGGTGAAACAATTAATCATGTTGAAGTGATCAGAACGGAACCATCGTGCAGCACCTTTAAAAATACACGGCATTGCTAAGCGTAGACACCGTGGTTGGAATGGAATTTCGGAGCAGTCTCTTTTAACTAAAGTCACGTAAATCCGCTCAACAAACGCCCCGCTGGACTTTGCCTTGGCATGCACCGCTTGCAGCCAGCCCTACACGGCTTTAAAATTCACCGCACCCATCACACATTCCACCGAGACATACATATGTCATGACACTCTACTTTGGCCAAGCAGGATACGATTTAACCATCGAACACAGCGTATACTCATACTAGCACATGGCATCGCTTGTCAGTGAGACATATAACTTTTAAGCTAAAGCACACTTTTGGTATCAGAAAAAAAATCCGAACTTTTTATGGCCTTTAGAGACCAGTAAAACATTTGATTCATGCTCACTGCATTCCCATTACAATTCCTGTTGTTTATGGTAATTTTCTCAGAAATTATGTGGTACTCATTTCTCCTCTTTTTCTGCAAGTGCATTATTCCTCGCTGACGACTGTGTAAATTGGGGATCTAGTCTGTCTGGCAGGAGGCCACACGCCGTAAGATGTATCCTGCCTGGGCTGGGTATGAGGCATGTATTTACTCGTAACTACTCTTGCTTCTCCATGACTCCACGCTTGCAGCTCCTCTTTCCAGCAGAGCGTCTCTACCTCCTCTTATGCCTACTCAGCCTCCTCTGCTGCCTCCAAGCAAATTAGGTACTGTGAAACCTTGGATTGCGAGTAACTTGCCAACGGGGTGACTCTTCTGTCTACTTAAGGCCATTTATATGGTGCAGAAATTTCAGATTGATGATGACTGTGACTCTTCATGATTGAGTTCAACTTTCCAACCTGTTCTATGAGTTTAACAATGCTTCCTTTTTTTGTTAAACCGAAATACATTTCATAACACTGACTGTGGGCATTTAAATACAGTACACTGTTGTGTTCCGACTTACAAACTGTTCGACTTACGAACGGGCCTCAGGAATGGAACCCTTTCGTAAGTCGGGGACTGCTCATACTTGGATATAAATAACCTGTTCTCTGTGCCTATTCATCATTTTCATTTTGTTGTGCATTCAGTAGCTGTGCCAGGTAAACATACTCTGCTGTGTAATGAAAAGTAACATTCAGTACCAATGTGCCGAAATAAGCACGTGTTTAATCAGTGTGCACTGCTTGCTATGACACGTAACTCTGAAACACTGGGGTCATTAAAAATATATATAGATCAAAAAGTGAAAAGTGTACTAAGAAATACTGAGAAACAGAGGAATGCATGGATTTGAGAACATATGCAGGTTAATGACATCACCCAAACTAAAGTATTAAGAAAACTGAGCAGGGCTTGACCAGGATGCACCACGGGCAAGAAGTGACAACGGTCAAAAATAACAACGGAGTGGCTACCAAGATATGGAACTCGTCAAAGAGGACGTCCTCCAAGGCAATGGAGCAATGAACTCAGTTCACACGCTGGTGCTGGATGGATTGTTCCATCGTAGGACTGTGAGAGATAGTGACAACACGGGGAGGCCTTCATCCATCAGTGGAGAGAACATGGTAGCTGCTGATGATAACCGATCTCTTTACCAGACCATCTGACTCGTTAAATCAGAGGTGGTGTCTTCCCGCATTTGTTGTCATTACGTGCTGCCTACCTTTAACCACAGCTGTTAGTAATACAAATTAACATAGCATCTTTAGTATTTACAGTCTTAATGAAAGTCACATTTGGCCAACTGTGACCTCGACTCAACGTGAAAACTCGGTGCTGGAGTATAGAAGCGTGCGACCACGTCCGTCTCCGTTACGTCACAGCCGAGTGTGAATCTTCACGGCGCGCCGACCCGCTCAATAGATAAAGGCAATTGCAGTCGAAACGTCCTGGCTGTGTCTCCGTCGGCCGCAGTTCCCACGCGCTGCACTCTGGACCCCCACCCACCGTGGGCCACAGCCCCAGACCCAACGTGGTGACAACGGCAACGATCCGGCCCAACCAGCCAGCGCCAGGTGCCGCTCGAAACCTCTCGCTCCAACGTGCTTCTCACTCTTAATGTGTGGAGGCTATGCTACGTGCTCATTGTGTATTATGCCGAGTGTGGGTTACGTGGTGTACTTTACATTATATTAAGTACTGTGTGTGGGTTATGTGGTGCACTCTGCACTATATGAAGTACTTTGTGTAGGTTATGTGGTGTACTCTGTGGGTTATGTGGTGTACTCTGTATTATATGAAGTACTTTGTGTGGGTTACGTGGTGTACTATGGATTATCTGGTATACTCTTGGTTATGAAGAGGAGTTGGAGAATGGTTCCAGCACTTCTTTATTTCTCCAACGCACAGCAACACTCGTTCCAAAACCAACCCCAAACACACGTCCCACAGCCCCTTTTAACCCTTCCATCTCTGCCCTCGCTCCCAATACACATCCACATCGGGCACGCCTGGTCCGAGTGACGTCACTACCCTTTAACCCCTGACCCCTGTCCAGCGCATTCCCACACGTGTGATTGGTGCGTGTTATAGTGAGAGCGGAGATGTCGTGTCTGCGTGGTGCGTGTGCGTGAGGGTGGCTTGCCAATCCCTTACATTTATATGAAGTACTTTGTGTGGGTTATGTGGTAAACTCGATGTGGGTTATGTGGTATACATATTCTTTGGGTCTTTCGGTAAAGTCACATAAATAGGTTCAAAGAAAATAACAAAAAAATGTTTTTATAAAGGTAAACTGTTTATAAAGGTTTGAAATGGTTATGGCTTAAACTGGTTGATAATGTCCTTCCAATGATTCCACGAAATTGATTTCTCTAAGACGAAGGTACTTTGCAAACCTACTGGCTTTCAACAAAGATTCGTTCATGAAGCCATCCACATATATAGACACAGACACAATTTCAATCAAGAAGATGGGTATAAACTGAGCAATCATGGGAAGGACGTTATCAACCAGTTGAAGTCATAACTGGCTGTGATGTTCCCATTCTACCACCTTCTGATGTTAGTTGTTATTTTCGGCTCTCTGATTTTACATTAACAGGTAAAATTTCTCACCCTAACACAGCCACCTCGCTCACCTCGCTCAAGGTTTTTTCTTTGCGATCTTCCAATGAACATGCTAATTTCTAACATTCACATGCTAATATCTTACAGTAACATGCTAATCTCTCACATTAACATGCCAATCTCTCACATTAACACGCTAATCCCTCACATTAACATGCTAATCTCTCACATTAACATGTTAATCTCTCACATTAACATCGCCACCTCAGGGCACCTGTCGTGGAGACCTCTCAACGATCTCACATTATCATGCTAATTTTTACTGGGCAGCCCTTTGATTGGTGGGAAAACCCACCACCGTCGCGGTCACTGCCCGCCACTTACATTACCATTGGCTGCTGACATTTGGGCTACGCCCATTTCAAACCTTTATAAACAGTTTACCTATAGAAGCTAACCCCCTCTTCCTGATGACGAACGCTTGTGTTGTGATCGAAACATCGTAGTTTTATTATTTTTTATTTTCTTTGAACCTATCTACGTGATCCATACTCGTTGGTTCTATTTGGTAAAGTCACGTAGGTAAAAATAAAATAACAAAAAATCACGACGTTTCGGCCACAACACAAGTGGCCTTCATCAGGTGAAGGGACTGGACTGTCCAGAGGACAGCGTTGGAGTGAAGACAGCAAGCCCAGGTCGCGTCCTTTAAGCTGTGTGGAAGGAAACAAAAAACGCCTTGACAAAGGAATTAGCATAAAATGATGTACTGGACCGGCACGGTGGGGGGGGGGGGGGAGAGGGGGGGGAGTTTACATAATGTTGGTGTGAAGGGAAATAAGCTGCTGTGAAAGTATGGAATACCACTACTTGAATACATATACTGTACCATTGAAAATTAGTTTAATGTTTGGTTTGATTTAGAACATCTTTCCAATGATTGCTTAATTTGAAACCATCCTCTCGGTTGAAATTGTGTCTGTATTTGTAAATCTGAATTGCCTCGTGGACAAATCTCTGATACAAACCCGTGGGTTTGCAGAGAACCTTGGTATCGGAGAAAACTATATCGTGATCACCCACAGCGTTGTAACAGTGATCAGCTACGGCAGAAGAATTCGTTCTGCCGTGTTTCAAATCTGATTTGTGCTTTCACAGCAGCTTATTTCCCTTCACACCAACATTATGCAAACTCCCCCCCCTCTCCTCCCCCACCGTGCCGGTCCAATACATAATTTTATGCTAATTCCTTTGCCAAGGCGTTTTTTGTTTCCTCCCACACAGCTTAAAGGACGCGACCTGGGCTTGCTGTCTTCACTCCAACGCTGTCCTCTGGACAGTCCAGTCCCTTCACCTGATGAAGGCCACTTGTGTTGTGGCCAAAACGTCGTGATTTTTTATTTTATTTTTACCTACGTGACTTTACCGAAAGACCCAAAGAATATGAATTCCTGCAGTCACGAAAGCTTTAAGTCAAGATTTATGTGGTATACTCGGTGTGGGTTATGTGGTATACTCGGTAGGTTATGCAGTGTACCTTGTGTCGATGAGTTGGAGTATTCTCTGATGTGGTGCCTCATCACAGTGGTAACGTGCCACTTGCCCCTACTTGCCACTCTCTCAAATCCGCTTCAGGACATGTCAACAGCAGCATCACCATCAATCTGCCGAGCACCGAGGCCACTCCCTCCGGTGGGCCCGCTAGCCGCCCCCCGTGGGTCACCGATGATCAGTTTGCGCAGAAGTACACGGCGGATCGCAGCACCACGACGATCTCCAAGTCGGTGGGACCGGCCAGCGGCGGCGGTGGCGGCGGTCAGGGATATGGTGCGCCAGCGCAGCATGGGCCGCCAGCGCCGCCGTTCGCGCCGGCGAAGCGTGGGCCGGTTGCCCCATCCTCGGCTCCTATCCACGCCGTCGCTCCGGGCCCAGGCTACGGGCAGGCCGTCTCGCCAAGCCGCGGCAAGGTGCAGTGGGCGCAGCACTGCCAGCCCAGCCAACGCACGCCCATGTGCGGCCAGTGCAATCAAATCATCCGGTGAGTCGCCCCGTGGTTTTGTTTTGTGTCGGTGGAGGTTCCACTGTTGTCGCTCCCCCACAGATGAAGCTCTGTCTCTCCCTCTACACTGCGTGCTGCTCACTCCCCACCGCTGTCTTTCCATCCAGTTACAGTTTGGGTTTCTCAGTCTAATGTCAACCCGAGGTAACCAGGTTGCCCCAGGGTCAAAACACTGAGGTAACCATGATTACATTGGCTTTTCAAGCACAGTAAGTCGATGGACATAACCCCAGTCACGAAAGATTGAATTAAAAGTACAACGTTAATTTTCACATTTGCTTAATTTTGCGAGATTAGGGTGTTCCGTGTGGATCAGGGGCCATTTGGAGTTGTTTTGTGATATAATCTTTCGCAGGTAGTTCTCCAACCAACATGGATGCCTCACGAGAGTTCCAAATGCACACGTTATCTCACGAAATGATACCAATCACACAATTTGAATACAATTATGAGAATGACTAAAAAAGACCAATATCAAGCATAAGTTACCATTTGTGGATTTCAGCCAGGTCTGTCCTTATCAGTCACCCCAAAAGTATTTCTGCACCTGCAGAGTGTATCCGGTATACCTCTCTTGGCATGGCTGTGGTTGCCAACAGTCACATGCCACCTACTCCAGTATGGCAGCGCCCCGGGAAATATTCGGCGAAACATTAAACCATAGTTTACACAGTTTCAGAATTTCCCCCCCCCCACCTCCTCGCCTTCTCCCCGGGAGCCGCCGCGTGCCCCTGCGTGTTGTGCGTGTCCTGGCACCCCTCAGCGGCCCTTTTCTGGTGGCGCTGGGCAAATCGTGGCATCCGGCCGAGTTCAACTGCGCCCAGTGCCACACCACGCTGACTGAGACCGGCTTCGTGGAGGAGCAGGGAAACGTGTACTGTGAGACCTGCTACGAGAAGTACTTTGCTCCGGATTGCGCCAAGTGCCGCAAGAAGATCATGGGGGTTAGTGCGTGCGTGTGTGTGGGAGGTTGAAGAGAAACCTTTCATCGGGTGGTGCTCAGCAGCATAATAAACAAATAAGCCATGTAGATTCAATGCAAGATGAACATATCCTACATGTATGATATGACCAAGTAAATGAATAAACAGATATTTTTGTATGAATCTGATGTGTAGATTCAGTATAAAATGACCATACCCGAGCTGTAAGATATGTCCATTTCGTATTTATTTATTTATAAGGCAGCTCCCGACTTACAAACGGGTTCCTTTCCTGAGACCCGTTCGTAAGTCCAACAAGTCGTAAGTCAGAACACAACAATGTACTGTATTTAAATGCCCATATGGTCAGTGTTCTAAAATATGTTACGATTCAACAAAAAAAGGAAGCATTGTTAAACTCATAAATAAGAACAAATATTGTACATATGTATGTAAAACTGTGATATATACTTTTTAGTAAACAAAAGAAAGTTATAAGAAAATGTAAAAAAAAAGTTTTAATTTCACTTAACTAGAATCCTGATGCTGCCTTGCTTGTCAAAAGGGGTGCAATAAGTGCCCATAATTGCGCACACACACACACATGGGGGCTCACCCGCACGTGCACATACACACATGTGCATGCACACACAATCACTTTCACACACAAAACAAAGGCCAGATATCCCCCGTATAGCTTGAACAGACTGTTGGGGCAAGTGCTGTTAGCAAGAACCTTTGAAGGCTAGAACGGCACACGAGGGGATGGGTAGCCAGCACCACGCCCGGCCGCCTTTGTCTCCTGCACCAGGTACTCAATTTGAGGCTGAGTTTACCTAAGGGAGGCCCAGGGTGGGTTGAGATAATCGTAACTGGTCTTGGCCTTGAGCGGAAATCGAACTCCGGTCGCCGGGTTCGTAAGGCAGCGTACTAACCACTACACTGCCACTCCACCCACACGTACACTCACTTTCACACACCCACACACTCACTTTTGCACACAACATGTGCACAAGTGCACACATTCATACGAACACTCACTGATAGCGCAATGCTGGGACTCATTACTTCTCGCGGCAGATTGCTCTGCTGAACAAAATAGTTCCGCAGTTCAGTTCGCAAGTGCGAGTTTGCATTCGCACGACGGATGGTTAAAACATAAGTATCTCATGGAATTCTAGATTTAAAGCTTTCGTGACTGCTAGGATCCATACTCTTTGGTTCTATTTGGTAAAGTCACGTAGGTGAAAATAATACCCAATAGAACCAAAGAGTATATCTCATGGAAGCTCGTTAGTATGTGCGGATATTCGTAAGTCAGGCATTCGTAAGTCAGAGACTGCCTGTATAGTCCATATTATTCATATGTACATGGGGTGAATGAAAAGTCGCTGACCCGGTGTATAAAGCAATAACCCACCATCCATTCCATGGTAGAATTAGTGATATATTGTGTTTATCGACAATATCATCGACCATGTTCTCGCACTACTGTTTGTCGGCTTCCCCACATCGTTGCGATCCCCCGTAGTTCTGCGATACCACAACCCGTCTCACTCCTGTACACGAGCTGATCTCATTTCCTCCGTCGAATTTCAGTCTTTCACTGGGCGACACGTTCATGACTGCTGCACGTTCTGCTCTCGCTTGTGCCCTCTGGCTGCAGGAGATCATGCACGCCCTGAGGCAGACGTGGCACACCACCTGCTTTGTGTGTGCATCCTGTGGCAAGCCCTTTGGAAACAGCCTCTTCCACATGGAGGACGGCGAGCCTTACTGCGAGAAAGGTACCCCACTCCTCACCGTTGTGCGGAACTTGCATTCAAGCGACCACGCGACACTGTTGGACCGACTTGTCCCGATCCTCCTTTCCACATGAGTGCTGGCCAATTCTGATACTTGTCCATTATGCATTTTTCAATAAATGGGTGCAGTGTGTATCAGTACTGGGAGTATTGTTGTAGATACCTGGTGTCACTAAATACACCTGCAGCTTGGCTTGTTCTTGTTTTCCCAGCCCGGTGTAACTTTCCCTGTGGTGCTCTGTGTGTGTTCACAGACTACGTGGTGCTGTTTAGCACCAAGTGCCATGGTTGTGACTTTCCCGTTGAGGCTGGAGACAAATTCATCGAGGCCCTTGGCCATACTTGGCACGATACCTGCTTCATCTGCGCTGTGAGTGTCATATTCTATTTGTTGATGTTATTCTTGAGGATTGGTGGATCACGCAAATTCATGAAACTCCCTACCCGTGGACATCAAGGTTGCCTATCTGTACAGGGATCAAGTGTTACCCCCTTGCTCGCGTAGGTTTTATCCGGGCACTCTGGTTTCCTCCCACATGTATAAATAAACATTAATGGAGTTGACCAAACATCCAAATATAGGACCACAGCTTGGCCAATTGTTGGATCTAATCCTGTCAACAAAATCCATAAAAACGCATGTCAAAAATGTTATAAATTGATTTGCATTTTAATGAGGGAAATAAGTATTTGACCTCTCAATCAGAAAGATTTCTGGCTCCCAGGTGTCTTTTATACAGGTAACGAGCTGAGATTAGGAGCACACTCTTAAAGGGAGTGCTTCTAATCTCAGCTTGTTACCTGTATAAAAGACACCTGTCCACAGAAGCAATCAATCAATCAGATTCCAAACTCTCCACCATGGCCAAGACCAAAGAGCTCTCCAAAGATGTCAGGGACAAGATTGTAGGCCTACACAAGGCTGGAATGGGCTACAAGACCATTGCCAAGCAGCTTGGTGAGAAGGTGCGATTATTCGCAAATGGAAGAAACACAAAAGAACTGTCAATCTCCCTCGGCCTGGGGCTCCATGCAAGATCTCACCTCGTGGAGTTGCAATGATCATGAGAATGGTGAGGAATCAGCCGAGAATGGTGAGGAATCAGCCGAGAATGGTGAGGAATCAGCCCAGAACTACACGGGAGGATGTTGTCAATGATCTCAAGGCAGCTGGGAACATAGTCACCAAGAAAACAATTGGTAACACTATGCCGTGAAGGACTGAAATCCTGCAGCGCCCGCAAGGTCCCCCTGCTCAAGAAAACACATATACATGCCCGTCTGAAGTTTGCCAATGAACCTCTGAATGATTCAGAGGACAACTGGTTGAAAGTGTTGTGGTCAGATGAGACCAAAATGGAGCTCTTTGGCATCAACTCAACTCTCCGTGTTTGGAGGAGGAATGCTGCCTATGACCCCAAGAACACCATCCCCACCATCAAACATGGAGGTGGAAACAGTATGCTTAGGGGGTGGTTTTTCTGCTAAGGGGACAGGACAACTTCACCGCATCAAAGGGACGATGGACGGGGCCATGTACCGTCAAAGAAGAAGCACATTAAGGTCCTGGAGTGGCCTAGCCAGTCTCCAGACCTTAATCCCATAGAAAATCTGTGGAGGGAGCTGAAGGTTCAAGTTGCCAAACGTCAGCCTCGAAACCTTAATGACTTGGAAAAGATCTGCAAATAGGAGTGGGACAAAATCCCTCCTGAAATACTTATTTTCCTCATTAAAATGCAAATCAATTTACAACATTTTTGGATTTATTGGTTTTTATTCTGTATCTCACTGTTCAAACGTACAAAATCAGCAGGGGATCAAATACTTTTTTCCCTCACTGTATATATTTAAAAATTTATAGTTCTGATTTTGCACCGTACTTAGCCAACCATGCTAATGGCATGAAAGGCAGTTGATCTTCCCAATTCCAAGGGAGGAGCATTCCATAAATTACAAATATAATAAATTTTCCAACGTGATGTATGTATCCAGGTTGACATTCCATGCTCATATTGAGATGTGACACGCGATACAAGACCTCCATTTAAATATCCCATCCACCAGATGGCATCTCCCGGTACCATTATAGGCAGCCGGCTCTGATTTTCTGACCCAGAGGGGATACAGCCCCCTGCTGTTGGCGGTATCAGTTGCCTTCTGCTGCTGTGTTTGCAGTGGTCAACTGTTCAAAAATAGTCTGGCTTCTATGTGTCGTCTGCTTTCTTTCTCATTCTTGAGTCTTTAACTTCTGCTGCATTTCACTGTGTAGGTGTGTCATGTGAACCTTGAGGGACAGCCCTTCTACTCCAAGAAAGACAAGCCACTCTGCAAGAAACATGCCCATGCCATCAATGTCTAAACCTGGTCACACACACGCTACACTCATACGTGAAACCATTTGTATCGATTGAGTTTCTGACACATGCTTTTTTGGCATAAAATATCTATGCACTCGTAGATTAATTTTAAAGTGGGACAAAATGCACACAACAATAACTTCTACCAGTGGCGTTAATTTGAAAAAAGCGATTAAAAAAATTCCAAGCATTGGCATTAAAATTAAATCCATTAAAGTTTGAATTCCCTTGCTCATTTAATAAATAAATACCCACATTAGAAAGATAATTATAAGATTTGCATAAATCTTAAACAGCGGTGTGTGCTTACGTTCCAAAAATATCGGGAGTATTTATTTCTTTGTAGGTTTATACACTCCCCTTTGGGCAAAGGTCAGCTAGCCCAGTTTGTACCGTCACTGGTAATGCTCTATATTTAACCCCGTGCACTGGTCTGCGTGGATCACAGGGCTGTTCTCACAAGTCGCCGGGCTCGTGACATGCAGAGAGACGTGGTTTGCTGCGCTGATAGAACGGTGCCTTATTGTGTAAACAATTGGTTCCAAAAATACGCAGTGCACTTGCTGATGCGCTGGTGAACCAACCGGTCAACCCCTCTGTGATTCAGCTGTCAGAGGCGGCGGCAAGGATTTCCAATGGTCTCATTACACCACGGGACGGCATTCATTTACAAATGGATGGCCTAAAATTTAATGCGGCAGCATGATGGATTGTCAGCATGACTGGTCAGTGCAATAGTGACTGTGATGCAGGTGATGGTGGTGCATGCGATAGATATTTTGACGGGATTAGTCCTCACACGGACGATGGTAGTGATGGTGATCATGCCCAAAGTTAGTTTTAACAGGCATGGATGTGGGATAGGAGTCTGGAGAGGTATGTGGGTATCTATGTGGTAGGCAAAGGATATGTTATATCAGTGAGACAAAATAATGTACTGTTTTGCCAGAGGTTCTGACTGGGAAACGGAGTCTATATAGTACGGATTGTGGTGTTTTTCTGATATTCTAATACTGTAATGTTTTGAAAGGGGGCGCTATATTGCAACAATGTGTCAATGTTAAGAAGAGGAGAGCTGTACGTGAAGTAAATGCCAACACAGCACCAGCTTTTGAAAGTGAACGTTTTGTGTACAAGCCAAATCACTGACACTATGCCATGTAGTAATTCTATCTTCATGCATGATAACACTAATTTGAATAAGATATTATGTTTTAAAGTGAATACTTTTTTCCTATGTCAAAAAGGGCTTGAGGGGCACGGTTTGAATAGTAATCGAAATTAGGTTATACAGTATTCTCTGTTGTGTCTAAGGTTATGCAGCAATAGACAAAAGACGAGTCTGTCGAGTAGCCATCCAACTTTTGTGCCTTGAAGATAGATGTTTGTAATACATACATTACATTCAATACAACAATGTAGGTGGACGGAGATGCAGATTTGATGGCTGTCTAGACAAAGCTATGCATGCAGTTGAAATAAAGCTGTACAGTGATACGTTTATTGTGGATCAAATTAAATCCCGGAGGCATAAATCGTGCAGCCAGCAAACGTCACATTCAACAATTGAGCCATGAAAATCAGCTTCAAGTGTTGTTGTGAATCAAGAATACTCGTCTAAGCAGCAGCTTCACTGTAATGTTGATTATTGTTGTTGCCTTGTGCGAAATCCATTAATTGATTGGTTTTGTTCCTGACAATAACAAAAAAAAGCGTTGCAACGTTTCCGATGACTGTGGTTTACATTGGTGTGCACTGAGTTTAAACACGTAGCTTGGCATGCTATTTGTTTTCTCTGAAACAAAATGTTCAGTATTTTTTTTTTATATTGCTACGTGGCTTTTATTTCCTTTTTGGACTCTGGTGTAAGGAATTGTGGCTGATTTTGATGAATTCACCAAATTGTGACAGGTGTGTGTGCGAAATGGAAGCTGTTTTTTGCAGGTTTAATAGGCGTGTGCCCATCGCAGACCTGTACTGGGAAAATATCTTAAGAGTAGTTTCTGTTGGTGAAATAGGCGTGCGTGTTTATAGCATTGGGATTTTAGCTGTTGGGCCTGAGATGTTTTAAGTGTCGCCCAATATGTCAACCATACTGTGTTTTTAAACGTAGAGTTCATCGTCCCTGAAGAAGGGTAATTGCGTGAAAAGTTATCCAACTATTTTTAGGCACTGCAAGTGAAAGCGGTGTTTTTGGCCAGTTTAAAACATTAAATGTTGAAATAATTTTCACAATATTTAAATTACAGTGACATCGTTATTAGCAATGAGACATACGGTCGTGTTGAGAATTTAATGACAATTTGGACGTTGTTGAGGATTTTTTTAAATACACGTTTTAATTGGTAAAGCTGCACATCCATATCAGACTGCAAATCCAAAGTTGACAATATAGACACTGTATTTTTACAAATTTGCATATACATTGGTATGTAAGCAGTATGGTGCTTAGGGTCATAAGAGTTGTTTTTTCATTCATGTGTTAATTTGCATGTGAAATTGTATGCATGTACAATTTATCTCAATAAAGTTTAGATTTACCATGAGCACGTGTTCCTTTATGTGCATACTTGTTACATTAGCTCTCATAAATCATGTGTCAAGGTTGTGATTTTTACTGGAATTCCGGAACACAGTGACCGGAGGAGAGGCAATGGTTTCGAAAGCTTTGAATCTAGTTTACTCACAATCTGGTTTACTCACAACTCACACTTTACTTCTAATGTATCAACCTTTGGAAGAACGTTAATCAACCAGGGCTATGCGTTAACTGTGTGTTAACCGACCCTCTATGTTGCATTGCATGACGCTTCTTAATTTTACTAAATTTGCTTTCTCAAACTTTCTATTTTCTTGCTCTAAACCATTGTCTCTCCTCCGGCCACTGTTCCGGAATTCCACACTGCTCCCTCCTTGTCCCCTCGTTTGTCAGCTGGTCTCGCCTTACCAGTCCCGTCTGTGCCCCGGCTCCTCCCCCCTCTCTCTATTTAAGGCCTCGGCACAGATTCGTTGTCCTGTTTGTCTTGGTGTGTGTCTCGCTCGGCGTGTCTTTGTGCGTCTCTCTCTGCATGTGTCTGCCTATGCTGTTCCCGTGTCTGTGTTTTATCATTCATTCTTACCTGATGATGGTTGCTTGTGTTGCAACCGAAACGTATTCTATTTGATTTGATTTTCTACCTGACAATACCGAAAGAACCAGAGTAATTCCTGTAGTCACAAAAGCTTCGAATCTAGTTTTTACGACTTAAGTCCTTTATTTGTCATAACGGTATGCATAATACAGTCAAACTGCTCTCTTATCTTCATTATTATTTGTGGCCTACCAATGTCTGCAGCCAGGATCAATCGATAACAATCCTATTACCTGCAGATATTTAACAGATGAGATGCGTTGCACCGTTAATTCCTCCTGTTTGATAATACTTCTCTTGTCCGTATGCATCTGTGCAGATACGTTTTTTTTTGCGGTTAAGCCATAGTCCCCACATACCGCGCGTATCAATGTGGATAAGAGGAGCGGCGACCCACTACTCTGTAGAGTAACATTGGTATAAACGCTTGTTACAATATGAACAGCGCATTGAAAACGCATACTATTTTATGTACTGTTTACAAACTGTGTTCACAAATCCACACTGAGAAACACTGATTGACAGAGGGGTGTAAATTATTTTTTCGATAGTGTATTTAAATATAGGTACTGCAGGGAAGTAATTTTCAGTTTTAAATGCATAGTTTAACAAGGCAACACTTGCCACCATCCTTCAAACCCATTGGTGAAAAAGAGCAAAGTTTTTGTGTTCATTATAATATAATGTTTACATTATATACATTATATATAATATATATGTTTATGCGAGAGCCGGGGGCTTATGGGACCCCGGGGTCCCACCATAGGGTTCAATTGCCCATGCATGATGTCCTTGGGTGGCCTTCCATCCTTCATTCTGACTACATGGTCAGCCTTGGAAAGATTGGCCTATATACTTCAATACAGTGGACATGGCAAGTATCCCTACACGACCAATCGCTTCCACAGTGGACACCCTGCTCTGCCAGCAAAATCATCATCAAGGACCTGAGGTGGCATTGTTGAACCCTGTCAAGCTGTCTCAGATGCCATTGCTACGGTGCCCATGTCTTTGGTCCTAAATCAGGGGTGGGGAACGTCCGGCAAGCGGGCCATATGAGGCCCGCAAAATCATTTGGTGTGGCGCTGCCAAGGCAATCGCAGGCGGGGCTCGAAATTCAATAAATCTAGGAGCAAACCTGGACCAGCAGTTGCGAGTAGCAACATCATCAATACCAGCTAACATCACACACCTCACCAAAGAGAAGCAGTTCCAGCCATCACATTAGGGGTGAGTTAATAAAATGTTTGACCAAATATAAAAGGCTAATTTTTAAGTGAATAATTTTGTATGGCCCGCGAATGATGTTATAAATATCCAAATGGCCCTTGGCAGAAAAAAGGTTCCCTACCCCTGTCCTAAATGAAATCACGATTACCCGCGTAGACTTTACACTTGGTACCCAACTTAAGTCTTGTGGCCAGAGTCTGAAGGACAGACGGCCAAATTAAGTCCAGCGATGCATCACTCAGTACAGTACTAGCAAGGTAGCAGAACCAGTCCACAGCATTAAGCTGATAGCTGGGGCTCTTCAGAGAGAGCTGGCTGATACGATGGCTCGGTTTTCCCCAGACCAATCATCAGGCCAAAGTCCTCTTGGTGTCTTTGAGAAAACAGTGAGCATCAGGTAAGTTTAAAACAGCTACAAAAAATTACATTTAGGGTGACATGAATATTTTTGTAATGTATTTCAATCTTTTGTGTTAATGTCAGTTGTAGAAATGTCGCAATGCCTTAAACGTAAATAAGTTCAAACGTGTTGTAGGTTGATATATAATGTGGTATTATTAAGAGGTATTAAAATGTTTAGATAGTGACAAATTGTAATTCACTATATTAGCAATGCATGCAGCAATGGTCTACCGTACTGGAGATTAGAATTGAGGCCAAGGCAGGGAGTTGATATTACTGTACATTGTCTCATCAACAGGTGACAAAATGTAAATGATTAGCAATGGCGATTAGGACGGGTAAAATACGTGGGAAACATTTAGATATAAGGGTTCTGTTTCAGATGAGATGAGGGTTCTGTGTTGGATGACAAACTTTTTGCATTGCATGAGATGAGGGTTCTGTCGTGGATGAGATAAAAGTTCTGTATGAGATGGGATTTCTGTGTTGGATGAGACGAGGGTGCGGTGTGAGATTAGACGAACGGAGTTCCGTCTGTAATGAGACACCAGCTATGTATGGGATGAGACGAAGATTCGTGTCCCTCAGTCTCGAGCCCTTCTGCACTGTTTTCCAGGAGCATGTTTTTGCAGAGAACCCTGGACTACCGTAGTTTAAACTGAATATAATCGGCAGTGTGGCCCGTCAGACATGCCGTTGGGTTGGCTGATGTTATAGGCAAGAGCCATCCATGAACATCCACAAAATAAAACTGGTATTTGCGTATATTGGCCTATTAACTGGGTTTCAAGGTAAATTATTTATCAATACCCCCCTTCTATCTTCCCCCCCCTACTGCCGAGGCCTACTATATAACCTTGTGCCACGGCAGATCTCTCGCCTACTTCAGCAGTTTTTTTCTTGCTGTGGTTGTCCCACCTGATGACGATTGCTTGTGTTGCGATCAAAACGTCGTGATCTATTATTTTTCTACCTACGTGACTTTACCGAAAGAACCAAAGAGTATGGATTCCAGCAGTCAAGAAAGCTTCAAATCAAGATTACATTGTTGGAGTTTCCCTACCTTTTAACCATTATTTTGAATATGAACACTGGAGTGTGTGGTTAAGTTAATGTTCATGGGAAAACATTGGTCCAGAAAATCAGAGAATTGCCTAATAGATGTCACCTTTGGTTGTGTTAGTGAATCACATTTTGGTCACGCATTACCAACAATAATCCAAGACAAGCCACGACCATAAAGTTTGCGGTGACCGAGATCGATATAAGTACAATGAGGCATCATCTCGAGATTCACCCCCAGTGACACATTTACCTCTAATGACTTGGTTCCAGTGCGATACAAGAATGGTTTATGGGGCATTACAAATTCTCGCACTTGCCTCAGTAGCTCCATTGTGGATATACTCTGTTGGAGTGGGTTACAGTGAGGGAAAAAATATTTGATTCCCTGCTGATTTTGTACGTTTGCCCACTGACAAAGAAATTATCAGTCTATCATTTTAATGGTAGCTTTACTTGAACAGTGAGAGACAGAATAACAAGAAAATCCAGAAAAACGCATGTCAAAAATGTTATAAATTGATTTGCATTTTAATGAGGGAAATAAGTATTTGACCCCCTCTCAATCAGAAAGATTTCTGGCTCCCAGGTGTCTTTCATACAGGTAACGAGCTGAGATTAGGAGCACACTCTTAAAGGGAGTGCTCCTAATCTCAGCTTGTTACCTGTATAAAAGACACCTGTCCACAGAAGCAATCAATCAATCAGATTCCAAACTCTCCACCATGGCCAAGACCAAAGAGCTCTCCAAGGATGTCAGGGACAAGATTGTAAACCTACACAAGGCTGGAATGGGCTACAAGACCATTGCCAAGCAGCTTGGTGAGAAGGTGCGATTATTCGCAAATGGAAGAAACACAAAAGAACTGTCAATCTCCCTCGGCCTGGGGCTCCATGCAAGATCTTACCTCGTGGAGTTGCAATGATCATGAGAACGGTGAGGAATCAGCCCATAACTACACGGGAGGATCTTGTAAATGATCTCAAGGCAGCTGGGACCATAGTCACCAAGAAAACAATTGGTAACACACTACGCCGTGAAGGACTGAAATCCTGCAGCGCCCGCAAGGTTCCCCTGCTCAAGAAAGCACATATACATGCCCGTCTGAAGTTTGCCAATGAACATCTGAATGATTCAGAGGAAAACTGGGTGAAATTGTTGTGGTCAGATGAGACCAAAATGGAGCTCTTCGGCATCAACTCAACTCGCCGTGTTTGGAGGAGGAGGAATGCTGCCTATGACCCCAAGAACACCATCCCCACCGTCAAACATGGAGGTGGATACATTATGCTTTGGGGGTGTTTTTCTGCTAAGGGGATAGGACAACTTCACCGCATCAAAGGGACGATGGACGGGGCCATGTACCGTCAAATCTTGGGTGAGAACCTCCTTCCCTCAGCCAGGGCATTGAAAATGGGTCGTGGATGGGTATTCCAGCATGACAATGACCCAAAACACACGGCCAAGGCAACAAAGGAGTGGCTCAAGAAGAAGCACATTAAGGTCCTGGAGTGGCCTAGCCAGTCTGCAGACCTTAATCCCATAGAAAATCTGTGGAGGGAGCTGAAGGTTCGAGTTGCCAAACATCAGCCTCGAAACCTTAATGACTTGGAGAAGATCTGCAAAGAGTGGGACAAAATCCCTCCTGAGATGTGTGCAAACCTGGTGGCCAACTACAAGAAACGTCTGACCTCTGTGATTGCCAACAAGGGTTTTGCCA